CTTGGACCAAAGGTCCTGGCGAATTTTTTTCTATAGAAAAAACTTGGACCAAAGGTCCTGGCGAATTTTTTTCTATAGAAAAAACTTGGACCAAAGGTCCTGGCGAATTTTTTTCTATAGAAAAAAACTGGGACCTGAGGTCCTGGCGAATTTTTTTCTATAGAAAAAAACTGGGACCTGAGGTCCTGGCGAATTTTTTTCTATAGAAAAAAACTGGGACCTGAGGTCCTGGCGAATTTTTTTCTATAGAAAAAAACTGGGACCTGAGGTCCTGGCGAATTTTTTTCTATAGAAAAAAACTGGGACCTGAGGTCCTGGCGAATTTTTTTCTATAGAAAAAAACTGGGACCTGAGGTCCTGGCGAATTTTTTTCTATAGAAAAAAACTGGGACCTGAGGTCCTGGCGAATTTTTTTCTATAAAAAAAAAACCGGGGCCTGAGGTCCTGGCGAATTTTTTTCTATAGAAAAAAACTGGGACCTGAGGTCCTGGCGAATTTTTTTCTATAGAAAAAAACTTGGACCTGAGGTCCTGGCGAATTTTTTTCTATAGAAAAAAACTGGGACCTGAGGTCCTGGCGAATTTTTTTCTATAGAAAAAAACTGGGACCTGAGGTCCTGGCGAATTTTTTTCTATAGAAAAAAACTGGGACCTGAGGTCCTGGCGAATTTTTTTCTATAGAAAAAACTTGGACCAGAGGTCCTGCCGAATTTTTTTTCTATAGAAAAAACTTGGACCCAGAGGTCCTGGCGAATTTTCTTTCTATAGAAAAAACTTGGGCTATTACAAGTTTTGACTCGAAGGTTTCTTGAATACAAAAATAAGGTGCTGCGATTTTTCCATAGACAAAATGTTAATGTGAGGTCCTGCAAATTTTTTTCTATAAAAAAAAAAAGCTTGAATGCGAGGCTCCATTTTTTTTTATTTTTTTTAATTTTTTATTTTTTTTTTTTTTTGAAAAACCCTTCGATTTCAGATTTGTTTCTACAGAGAAACCATAGACCAGAGAAGGAGAGATCCACACAATTTATGAATTTTCTTTATTACCAAATTGAAAAAAATCCGGGCGTATAATTGTTATTAATATTGGATTGGGGGCGTATGATTAATATGTTAAATATACGTACAGTTAATAATATTATTATTTCTCTTTTTTACGGTTCAGGTATTGCTCTTCTAAGCTTGTGCTAAATATTTAAACGATTTTCATAATTTTCTATTTATAACGGAATTTTTCTCCACCCCTCTTCTCCGCACCTCTCTCGACACCCAAAACAAAATTGTTCACATTTTAATTAACACTTTAGGATAGGCACTTCAACCCAAAAAGTCCTTCAGCCATCTCATGGCAAAGTGATTGGCGTCGATGCTGGTGGCTTATGAGCAAAAATATTAGCTCTTCAAATTAAAAGTTGTGAATTTTATATGGCTGCTTAAAAAGCCGAACTTCCTGTTTCCCTCGAACGCTTGAAAGAGTAGGTCCTTGTTTATATGTTTCCAAAGGAATTAAGTAAACGAATTTCACATAATCCAATCCTTCTACACCTTCTCCATCCCTCTTCTTGGGACAAATAACTTTGTCACACAATCGGTGATTCACCAACACCACCACCACCAGCACCGACATACATGAGGCTAACATACTTAAGATTTTCTCACACATACCCCGACATATTTTAGTGGCAAAACTTTCATTCACCCATTCTCTCATGTAGTCAATGCAGAACACACAAATACACCTACAATTAGGAAAGAAAACTGGCTTCGCCTCTCGCCCCTTTTAGTAATGACGTATTTAGGTTGTCAATGCTAAATATTTGCGCAAGAATGTACCAACGAAACAACAGCAACAACTTTAGCAGCAGCAGCAGTTAAACAACAATTTCATTAGAAATGTTGTCAACTCTTTTCGGGTGGCGAGGAAGGGTGCTTAGGAGCAAGGGAGGTAAAGAATAAGTGTTTGCATACATACATATGTATTTTATTGCTGTTGTTGTTGCTGCTGGTTTTGTCGCCAGGTTGCCTTGTATTTTGGAATTTTATTTTCTATGCTGCCGTTGCCTCTGCTTCAGCTACGTTTTAGGCATTCGCTCTAAAGTGGGTCAAGTGTTTTACGGAAATAAATTCCGTAATTGCTTTTACATAACCCATTTCTTGTCATTGCTTCGGAGAATAGCTAAACAACAACAGCCGCAGCAACTACAACAACATCAATGGCTAATAGGCTTAGCCGAAAAGACTTTAGACTTCCCAGAGATTAAAAGGTAGTTGTTTTGTTTTTCGTTGAGGAGTTCTTAATGAAAAGCAGTAGGAAAAGGTCTTTTAAGGATGTGAATGGAAGGCAGGAGAGATTTGGTTGTAAGGAAAATTAATTGGCTACGAGAAAAAGGATTTGGTTTTCCACAGAGTACAGTTTTTCTATAAGAAAAACTTGGACAAGAGGTCCTGGCGAATTTTTTTCTATAGGAAAAACTTGGACCAGAGGTCCTGGCGAATTTTTTTTTATAGAAAAAACTTGGACCAGAGGTCCTGGCAAATATTTTTCTATAGAAAAAACTTGGACCAGAGGTCCTGGCAAATTTTTTTCTATAGAAAAAACTTGGACCAGAGGTCCTGGCGAATTTTTTTCTATAGAAAAAACTTGGACCAGAGTTCCTGGCGAATTTTTTTCTATAGAAAAAACTTGGACCAGAGGTCCTGGCGATTTTTTTTCTATAGAAAAAACTTGGACCAGAGGTCCTGGCGAATTTTTTTCTATAGAAAAAACTTGGACCAGAGGTCCTGGCGAATTTTTTTCTATAGAAAAAACTTGGACCAGAGGTCCTGGCGAATTTTTTTCTATAGAAAAAACTTGGACCAGAGGTCCTGGCGAATTTTTTTCTATAGAAAAAACTTGGACCAGAGGTCCTGGCGAATTTTTTTCTATAGAAAAAACATGGACCAGAGGTCCTGGCGAATTTTTTTCTATAGAAAAAACTTGGACCAGAGGTCCTGGCGAATTTTTTCTATAGAAAAAACTTGGACCAAAGTTTCTGGCGATGAAAAGTATTTTGAAAAAAAAACTAAAAAATACCGAAGTGTCGATCACCTCAGGCAAGCGCTTCGCCGGAAGTAGTCCAAAATACCAACATTTCGGGCAGCGTGTGTGGGTTTTATTGGCCGTTTGAAGGTCATTATTCGTGCCAAAGGCAACCAATTCTAACAAATCTAAACTTATTCTAAAATTTGATGCTATTTTTTGCTTTCATTCAATAAAATTTAAAAAAAAAAAATGTAAAAATTATGGAGTTTGACTTTACTGCAGTTTTTTTATCTCACCCTGTAGATGCACATTTCTTTCTAGAGAATGAAGGAGGAAAGAAACGTAGAGAAAAAAATTAAATTAGAAAGGATTATAAAAGGAAATCTCTCTGGCGCATACTTAATATAACAATCATACGCCTCCGAGGCTCCAGAAATTAATATTAGTTATACGCAGGAAAGAACTTTGTTGTTACTATGAGTTGCTGATTCCATATGGCAAAAAAACCACAAATTTTGTTTTGTTTTTTAAGGAAATTATAAATCAGCACCTGAAACGAGTTCTAAAAATGACCAACTTCCTTCTTTTTGATTTTGAAAATTCGACCCCAAAAGTAATATTTGATAGAAGCTGTAGAAAATTAGTTCGATTTTCCCATCGTTGAATATCCTTTGAAACTATAACTCCGATATTTCCTTGTTTGAAAAATTCCGAACTTCCATAAAGATGAGAAAGATTTCAGTCTTGAATTTTTCTATATATATTTTTTTCAATTGAGAAAATATTTGAATCCTTGCAAAATCCTAGACAATTGGGCCACAAAAGTAATATTTTGCTGGAAGCTGTAAAAAACTAGTTCCGTTTTCCCATCGCTAAGTACCTTTTGAAACTATTACTCTGATATTTCCTTGTTCCAGAATTTCCGAACTGTTATAAAAATGATAAAATATTTGAATCAGGAGGAGGAAATTACCCTAATTTTTCTTTTCAATTCAGAGAATATTTGAATCCCTGTCAAAATCCTAGCTCCCCATTTTACCTGTTTTATTTGCAAAAGTTCTACTCCAGACTTGAAAGTCATGTCTTTAATTCTCCAAAAATTTTGGCAAAATAGTGAAAAGTTTTCCCACAAATGCTTCCCCTCTTCCCTCGCCTCTCCTCCCCACCCCTCCTCACATGCTACAAAGCTCACCAAGATCTTGGCCAAGTGCTGGCATAGGTTTCCAGTAAAACTTCTAAATTGCTTTAGATAATTTGGGCAAAAATCTCTTTCGCATAGAAGACTGACTGGCTGCCTGCCTGACTAACTAATGAATGAATGAATATCTGCATATATATGTGTAGCTAAGGGTGGGGGTTGTGGTGGTGGATGTCTGCAATAATTTGTGTCTTTGGCTGGAAAGTGGAGGTAATAATGTCTTGGGTAGGGAGATGCTAATGCTACGTTGGCTGGCAGTGGTTTCCTGCAAAGTTTTGGCTCTCTGCTGCAGTATTACCTGTAATTAGTTATGATAGCCAAAGTTAGCAAAGAATACACACACATACACCCAAACACTCTTCCATGACTGCATTTATTAGCAAATTATGACTGCAGTGCAAGGCCAAGTGAGTGCTGGGTTTCTCACTGCCATACTCTCCCTCCTCCCCCCACCATAACCCAAAAAATACATTCGGAAAGTTTCTCAAAACTTTTCAACTAGCTTCAAGGAGGGCCAGCAACAGAACTGAAAGAGCTTCTGCTTCCCGGCTTTTGCTTAAAAACTAAACTAAACTTATTATACCCAGGTCGCCCCCAGGGGGATTAGTGGCAGGTTCGCTTTCTCAAGCAGGAAGTCTATGCTATTCTTGGGGTCTTGACAACAACAACAACATGAACAACAACAACAACAGTACCATCTAACATGATTTAATATTAAAATTTTGTGTGTATGTGTCTCGCTTGTTTGTTTGTTTCTGATTTAGCTACGTCATCTACTTACTGTACTGCTGAGCTCGAGTTCCATAGAGTGGCTCCTGAAGCAAAGGTGAACGTCCATTGGTAATTTCTTTAACTAAAATTAAAGAAGAAAACACCAAACAAAAATACAAAATTAGAAAGAGGTCGGATAACTTCAGGATAAGAAGTGACAGAACAGAAGAAGGAGAACAATAGACAATCATCATCATCGGCATCATCATCTGCATCATCATCAACAGTAACAACCAATGAAAAAAGAAAAAAAAAACAATGCAAGGCAAGAAATTTGTCAGGGGTGTTCTTGGGGTTGGGGGTACCCTCAACAAGGTGTAAAGAAGGGGGGGAAATGGCCACAATTATTTATGGAAATTGGAAACATAACAGAGCCAGCACCAGCAATGGAATCACAAGCAAATTTCACTACTCCATCATCTCATCATCCTTCGCCTCCTAGCCACACTTCCAACAACATCACCCTACCTCAAGAAGCTACTTGAAAGTAATTCTCCTGGCACTTGAACTTTTCGGAATTCATTCCAGCAGCAATATTTCAATGGGTAACCCCTCCCCCTACCTACCTCTAATGCGTCCAAGTCCTTCTTCTCGTTTCTAGTTAACACTCTCTAATGGATTATCACCAGCTTCTTCATAAGCACTTCTATTTGAATAAATTTTCAAGTATATTCGTTGGGGGCACCTCTCCCCCTCCCCAGCCCCTCTTACATTGATAGATAGTTTCTTATAATTCTACATTTCAATGGTTGATTTAATTTATTTGATTTGGATACAAATTAGAATTCAGTTAAGTGGTGGAGGGTGAGTGGGGAGAAGTGGAGAAGAATGGGGAGAGGGGGGGATAAGAGGCAAGTGATGAATGCAAAATGAGATTTTATGAGCAGGGAAGGGAGCTAGAAACACTTTGAAAATGTAACTTTTACTTGAAAAATGATTTGCATAGAATTGGAAAAAATTATAATAAAACGCAGAGAGGGAGGGGGGAACGGAAAAATTGAAAAAAAACTAAGGGAGAAGTGGCAAAGGCGTGTTAGAAAAAATAAGGTGAGGGGTTCAAAACAAACAAACGTTTTTTGCTCTAAAAAAATCAGGATCCAAATTCTCTCTTTCGATATTGAAAAAAAATCGATCGAAATGAGATAGGCTCATAGTTACTTTTGAGGATCCTCATTCTGAGTCTTTTTATTTATATCATGCCATCCGTCAATCCTTCCATGAATTATTCTAAGCAAAGTACAAGTCGCATTTATTGCCGGATCCAGATTAAATTTTCCAAAAAACATTTCTATGGCCCAAGGACGAAACCTATTGAAATTGGAGATAATCGTTGTAAATTGAGATATAGCTTCCATTTATATCTTCATCCGATTTGCCTTTTAATGTGCACTTAACGTGTAATATTAGCCCAAATGGGATGGAATTGGGCACTTACCACCAAATTGAGCATAGAAACAAGTATGCCAAATTTGATGGAAATCGGTTCAGATATAGCTATAGCTCCCATATATATTGTTCTTCCGATTTTATAATTTTTTCCCCCGCAGCCGTAATATGCACTCTATAACAACGATATTTGGGAAAATATTTCAAATACAGCTCAGAAATACCATTCCAAAAATTTATCAAAATCGGTTCAGATTTGGATGTGGCTCCCATATATAACTTCGTCCGATTTGAGGTTTATTGTGCACCAAACGCCGAATATCCGCCCAAATAGTATGGAATTTTGCATACACGACCAAATTAAGTCTAGAAACAAGTATGCCAAATTTTAATCGAAATCGGTTCAGATATAGCTATAGCTCCCACATATATTTTCCTTCCGATTTGATATTTTTGTCCTCCGCAGCCGTAATATACACTCTGTAACAATGATATTCGGGGAAATATATCAAATACAGCTCAGAAATGCCTGTGCTAAATTTTATGAAGATCGGATTCAGATTTGGATATAGCTCCATTATATATCTTCGTCCGATTTGAGGTTTATTGTGCACCAAATGGCCATTATCAGTCCAAATGACCTGAATTTTGGCACATCCAATCGAATTCAGGGTAGAAGCAAGTATATCAAATTTGGTGAAAATCGGCTCAGATATAGCTATAGCTTCCATATATACCTTAATCCGATTTTAGGTCTATTGTGCACCGAATGGCCAATATCAGTCCAAATCACCTGAATTTTGGCACATCCAAGCTAATTCAGCCTGGAAGCAAATACCTCAAATTTAATGAAAATCGACTCAGATATAGCTATAGCTCCCATACATGTCTTTCATCCGATTTGGTGTTTAAGTCCCTCACTTTCGAAATATGTACCCTGTAACAATGATATTTGGCACCAGATATCTTATAGAGCTCGGAAATACCTTTGCCAAATTTTATCGAGATCAGTTCAGATTTGGATATAGCTCCCATATATATCTTCGTCCGATTTGAGGTTTATTGTGCACAAAATGACTCCTATCATCCCAAATGGCCTGAATTTTGGTACATCCGCCCGAAGTCAGCCTAGAAGCAAATGCTTCAAATTTGATTAAAATCGGCTCAGATATAGCTATAGCTTCCATATATACCCTAATCCGATTTTAGGTTTATTGTGCACCTAAGGGCCAATATTAGTCCATATGGCCTGAATTTTGGTATATCCGAACGAATTCAGTCTAGAAGCAAATACATCAAATTTGGTGAAAATCGGTTCTGATATAGCTACAGATATTGGTACCAAATATCAGATATAGCCCAGAAATATCTGGTTCAACTTTTAACAAAATCGGTTCAGATTTGGATATAGCTCCCAAATATAGCTTCGTCCGATTTGAGGTTTATTGTGCACCAAAATGGCCAAAATCAGTGGAATGACTTGAATTTTGGTACATCCGACGGAATTCATCCTGGTAGCAAATACCTCAAAAATCGACTCAGATATCGCTATATCTTCAATGTATATAAATCTTCCATCCGATTTGTTGGTTAAGTCCCTCACTTTCGTAATATGTACCCTGCAACAATGATATTTGGCACCAGATATCTTATAGAGCTCGGAAATACCTTTCACAAATTTTATCGAGATCGGTTCAGACTTGGATATAGGTCCCATATATAACTTCATCTTTAATTGTGCACCAAATGGTCAATATTAATCAAAATGACCGCTTAACCAGCGCCGAAACGCGTCGCATACTTCCAATTTTCAATGCCAAATCCTTAGGTCATTAAAAGCTACAGTCAAAAGAAAAATTTATCTGAAATTCATTTCGAGCGACATTTTTGCCATATCTAATGAATTTGATCCCTGATTTTTTTTTTCGGAGAAAATACTACAAATATTTGTGGTTATGTTGAACCCCTCTGCCTTATTTTTTCCCACAGGAAAAACTAGGCTCCCCCATAGATTAAATAAAAAAAATAAATGAATATTTTAATAGAAAGAAAAAACTCGATGAGAAGTTTGGTATATTTGTTTCTCTCCCCCATTCCTCTTTATCTCCCCCTCTTATTAAAAATTATAAAAACAATGTTAAACACAAAAATATATACTTGAGATAGGTCAGTGCAGACTTGAATGTTGTTATTTAACACAGTTAACTTTATTCATTCATCAGTTGGAAAAAAAAAACAACAACAAAAACACTAAAAATAACAACTTGATACTGCTACTGCTCATCATCACCATCTCCTCTAACAACAACATCATCATCATCGTCATTATCATCAAAGCCATAAAATCTCACACAAAAATGTTTGTTTTTATCATTTACTGTTTTTATGCAAATCAACGATAATTCTATTCATATTTAAAAGATAGGAAAGTAAACAGAAACAACAACGACGAGAGTGTAGAGGAAAAAACAACAAGGTAGATGACGCGAAGCAACAAGCTTTATGGCTTAAGTAGGAGTTGCTATGTTTGCTTAAAATTGGCATAAAACAAAGCCAAAATAGGGAAACGCAACAAACAGATTAAACTCTTCAGAAAATTTGTCCGGAAAAGAAAGAAAATTCTGGAACGAAGGTAAGAAATTTTGTAGATATAGGTTCCAGAAATTAGGACCTGTTCAAATTTTCTTAGTTACAAGGACTTTTAAGAGATTTATGGATATTTTTGTCGCAGAAAAAAATTAGGTTAGGTGGGTACCTTGAAATAATTTTGTTTCTACATTTCGAAGCTGTAAGCCTGCAAATCTTGTTCACAGCTGCTTATTCTTATCATTAGAAGTTGACAAAACCGTAGAATATTTCGGAGTTATACCCCTATAATTCATGTCAAAAGTCTTAAAAAAGAGAATAAAGTCTTAAAAAAAAAACAGAATAAATTTGGACAAAAATTTAGACATTTGAAGATAAAGTTCCATGGGTTCCATAGGCCAAAACGTACCTCATCGAAATAAGATTTTTATACCCTAAGTCTCTTTGGACTAAATTTAGACATTTGGAGATAAAGGTCCATCGGTTTCATAGGCCAAAACGTGCCTCATTGAAATAAGAGTGGTATATCCATTTCAGGACATTTGGAGTCGTGAAGAGATGTCCGTCCGTCCGTCTCTCTGGCTGGTGCGCACGATAACTTTCGAAAGAAGTATTTGATTTGGTCTAAACTTGGTACATCGCAATGTTATTATTAGACTTAGGTCGAGTTCGGTCAAATATTGGAATAAACAAAACGATCATAAAATCCGAAAAAAGTATTCGGTTCTCTTTAAATTACACACATCAAAATATTTTTATTAGGCCAAGATCTAGTGTGAAGATGGGATATATCGGTCAGAATTTTGGTCAAAATTTTGAGTATCCATGAAACTCATAAAACGTCAAATCAACATCCGTTTACATTCGGAAGTGGTACACCTCAATATTTGTATCAACACAAGGTCCGTTATTAACATGGAAGAGATCGGACCATTACTTTTGGTACCTCCCCCACATAGGGTTCAAGATTTCGAAGAACAAAACGCTCAAAGATAGAGAGCTGAATATGCTATATATCTGCGAACCCCTTCTTGTACCTCAGCCACAAAGGGTCAACATTTTGAATACTCTTATCTGTCATAAGCTGTGAAACAAGTCAGCGATTCTTTA